TTAGAAATTCTCCTCTTGACAGCATAGTGAGGAACTAGAAGATAAATTTCTATTTTTTCCCCCCCAGGATTCTATAATTTCCTGCACAGAAAAGGGGCAATTCAGGTATCAACAAGTCTCCTAAGGTATAGTATAGTGGTTTGAAAGTAATCAGAGGTAAGAGTCAATAAGTCTAGAAATTTTCTTTTTTAATCTCTTCTACTTAGTATAATGCTATGAGCATATACTTTGGGGCCAGATAGACCTTTTAGACCTTTTAGGGGGAAATGACTTGGGCACTCTGAGCCTCAGAAGCGTCATTTAGAATATGGAATTCTATAGACATATGGAATTCTGTAGACATATGGGCACACCGCCCTACAATTCCAAGCAAAAAAGTTCTGCCTAACTTTTTTCAGGATGTGGAGTGGTTCGTTGGACAGCTCTACTCTGATACTCCAAAAAGACTTCAATGGATGCCCACAGTCTTGTAGTAACTGCTCTAGTGTGGGAATTCATAGGACATAGGACCTTTTGGAGATCCTGACAAATCTTTGTTTAAACTAGTAATTTCTTGACCCAATAGAACTAGAAAAGGTAGAGATTTTAGCTCACACTTAAAAAGTGACTTGACATTCTAAATTCACCTGGGAAAAGGTTAAAGCATGAAAAAGTCAGTTTGGTCAAGGTGGGCATTTGTTGTCAGTAAAGACAGGCAATCCTCTCAGAATCTTTTTTTTTTTTTTTTTTTTTTTTTTTTTTTTGAGTAGGAGTTTCTTTCTTTCCCATTCACTGGAATATTTGATTTGTTCTTAAGGATTAAGGAGGTGGCTCTATTCTAATGTTCATTCAATTTTAGGATAACCACAAAGGTTTCATGAATGTGAAATGCTAGTTACACAAATATGAAATGGATCTGTGATGAGGATACCGGATACATGATATAACAGTCCCAAAGGCATTTCACCTGGGACCTAAGCTTTCCTTCTAGAACATCAGCAAACAGTTCAAAATTAATGTAGCACACCATGCAATTTGCCATATCGCTACACTAGCCTGATAATTTTTTTCCCTCATTATATAAAACCTAATTAGTTAAAGGGCAATTCAAATGAAACTTTTATTTGGGGGATTTAGAAGTATTAAAGCAAAGGGGAAAAAAAAACACAAACAAACACTGCAGCTCTCTGGATAGCATGAACATGATTATTAATAACCCTTGGGTAGGAAAATGATTAACCTTGTTATTTTCCTCACGATCCAGGTTTCTACAATAAATGAGTACTGCACAAAAATATTTGGATGCTGTATGGAAAACAACTTTTACAAGGTCTCCAACTGGCATCAAATGTTTTCAAGTATGAAAACATCTCTGGGCTTTCTTAACAGAACTGATGGATCCCTGCAGGTAGTGCTTCCCTTGTTTCAGAGTCCTGCCAATTAAATCAAATTAGAGACAATTTTTTCACTCTGTGATAAAGGCAATGCTCATTATAAGAGAAAACAGAGGAATGGGAGAGATTTCTCTTCAGTGAACTATTGTTTTAAATCAAGTAAGCTGGGGTTGGGGGCGGGAAGGATCGCCAAGTACTTGTATCAATATTCTGTACTTTATACCATCATGTCAGTCATTTGAAAATAATGTCAGGAAACGCATCTATAGTCAGGTTCATAAAACCTTTACATCACTTTTCTTTTGTAGTATTCTAAGAAACAGTCCTGTTTATTTAAAAATTTCCATTTGAAAAAAATGATCTTCTTGGATGTGATTTTTCCCTTTTATGGATGGGTGTACCCTTAACCCCTGACTGATTTGTCATCTGCTTTTGTAAGAAGTGATAATCACCCACACAAAGTTCTCTGCACATTAGGCCAACTCTTGCTGATCTACTTATAATATACTATTTAGCGTAATTACTGGAATCATTTACTTTTCAGGACTAAGGATCTGATAATGTATGGTAGAAGGTAATGATCAATTTATCCATTTTAACCGAAACACTCTCACCAAGCCAGCTATTAATTTGGATCATCAGTATCAACAAATGTTCACTTGGATAGCATTGTGAATGTTTACTTATAAGTGTATGATATATTTTATAAGAAAATGAAACCTGAATGAATGACTACCATATTAGGTAAAATAAAAACAGATCATTGGGCTCAAATGACTACAGGTCTATTTTGAGATTCATTAATTGCTGACAATATCACCAGTATTTTTTCAGCCATGACTAAACCCCATCAAAATGACTGAGTTTTAAATCAAGTATGCTGGGGATGATTGGGAACCCTATATCCTAATAGATAGACAACAGCAGGTACAAATGACCTTAATGGGAAATTTATTTCAGAAATGTTTTTAGCAGATGATCGGAAAGGATGACCATTCAAAGTCTAGGCATTTGAACTTTAATATAGGCATTGACAATTTGGGATCTATACTGAAATCTACAAGAGCTCCAAAACATTTAGCTATTGTGAATATAGCATATGTATGTGAACTTATGGTTACATACATCAATAATTTACATCGATGATATACATCATTTATTCGCCTTGAAATATGCTTTGATGATCAGAGTCTCATGGGTGTTACATCTGTTGTAATGGTATCTTCCTACATAGCTGGCAGAATTATATTCATTGATTCCTTCTTTGGGGTAAAGAGAAAAGCCCTGGCAAACACCCAGACTTAGTTTAAAATCTAAGAAGAGTCTTCTTTGGCTTGCACTTGAAAACTCCATTCCCATGCTCTATAGAACAGGCAGTGAGTCATGTGTGTGTGGATTCTTGCCCTTGGGAGAGGAAAAGAATCCACCAGTGCACACGACAAGCACCTTATAAGCCCACAAAGAAGGAACTTATGAATGCCATTGAAGCAGCCTAGAAGATACATCCTGTTTGATGGTTTTATCATAAATCTCTTTACCTTAAAAGCCAAGCAACAGGCAAGGTAGTCATGTGTGATGTTGGGTGACCCCTGGAAGAGCTTACAACCAGCTTACTGGAAATCTGAGAACATACCCATTGCACTCCAAGCAGAACAGCCAGAGGCATATTGAAAGCAGGGTACCAACTATTACTTTATCTGATGGCTTTTGTTACGTGTTAGGAGTTCAATTTTCTTAAGTTACGGTAATAAAGGTTAACATTTTCTAAAGGCACAACAAAGCATCCTTTCAGGTCACCACTGACTTCAAAATGAAACAAAGCAAAACAAAACTGGAATTTCCCGATTAGGTGTGTAAAAGGTCGACATCTGCTGATGCTCAGAGATAGGGGATGAGGTGGAGACGGCCAGATGAGATGTTGAGTGAGCAGTACAGTCAGAGGGTCCATGCAACACACAATTGACACTGCAAATGTAAACACTCCCCAACGCCAAAGAACTACTTTTCCATCCATCCATTTCTGAAACTTTTGACAGCCAGATCACGGTAGCAGCCTCAATAATCTGTTTGGTTCTCTTTTGCTCTAAAATGCATGTGCAAATGCAATTGTCAAGGCCTGAAAGGAGCACATTTGGGGTATATATACTGTTAGGTAAATGCAAGGGAGATTCTAAAGCAGAAAAATGAGACTATTAGAGCTGAAGGTTTTCATTTATAAATTTGTAGCACTGATGCTATTTCCAGAAGATCACAAAGAAGATGCTGTGGCATTAGGCTGGTATCTGAATGGATGTGAACGCTACTTCTATTTTCAAAGCAGCTGATTTTCATGGCATTTAACATGTCTAGTGCTTAACAAATCAGCGTTCAGGCTTATGCAAACTTAAGTGAACTGGACTGATTTATAAATTGAAAGACCTGATTGTGTATTTATAAGAAGAGGGAAGTTATTCTATTCAAATTATCAGAGTAGTGTTTTTTGGATGGATATGGGATACCATGAGTCTTCAAATGCTACTGTTCACACTGTTGTCACCCTGCCTAACACAGCACTGATGACATAAGCCTGTGAGGAGTGGCATTAAAGTGAACCACCTTCTTTTCACTGACAGTTCATAATCTTGACCTCCCCACTACTATATTTCTAATCAGTTATTCAGCAGCTGGTCTGAGGTTTTAGCTGTTGAAATAAATGGCGTGCTACATAAATATGTAAAATTCTGCTCTGAAAAGCTATTAGGCATGTTCTTAATGAGCATTTTAGGTTTGGCATTAGGGTGGCCTTGTTTTACAAGTGAAGAAGGACCTATGGTGTGATTCTCCCATGAGAACTGAGAGAACGTTCTTTGCGGTGATACTAGAGAGGTGTTCTGCTGAGAGCTGGAGAGGAATCTCTCTTCAATTGCTTAGATTTCTACTAAATGATTTCTTGCAGTAATATCTAATACTCTGACTCCTAAATTCTTCATGTATTTTCTTTTTAATATACCTTTTCTCTATCAAACTTAAACCTAAGAGTCAAGATGACATGATTGCATTTTAGGAGAGAGAAATAGATGTACTAATTATCTTTTTCCTTTATTCTTCCAGAACGACTAATGATCACAAACCTGCCTCTTTCAGGCCTTCACAAAGTCTAGAGTTTAATGCATTAACAAAATTCCCTCCCCCTAGTTTCATGGCCTTTTCCTTGGGCTCTAATGAATATGTCCAAGGCATTCATTGGCATTCATTCTCTGCTGTTCTAAATTATATTAGAAATCCACATCTAGTCCTAGAGCGAAAGTGTAATTTGTTTGTTGGTTACTAAGTATGGGGAAATAGGACTATTTATATTTTTGCTAAATGAGTTATGGTTACCCAAGTAATTGAACCTCTGTGCAGGTGGCCTTCATTAATCAAAAATAGTCAGGAAAGCTATGGCCCTGCCATGTTCACAGAGGTATTATGCTTAAATCACTATTTTATCTGTGCTCTTATCATATCTGTGCAGAAAACCAACACAAAAATGCAATTCACAAAGAAAATACTCTATGACATCAGAAATGGACACTGGGAAAATAGATCTGAGGAGCTGAACAACAAAGCAAAGCTAGCCTAGACTCAGTTTGGTGATTGTTTACTTACTACCAATACTGGAAATACTGGGAATACCTGGGGAGAAAGAAAAAAAGAAACCTGTTAGCTATTTATAAGAAAATGACATCTTTAACTTAATGTAAACATCTCAGAAACTTGACACTTGATAACATTCAGGACATTCAGAAATTAGCATGGAAAAACTATTCATATATATATATATATATATATA